AGGATATATATCACAATGCTGAAAATGCAAGCCACATATATATAGCTCTTCTGAACTCTAAACCATATACAAACTTTGACTCGTTGATTTATCATGTTCACCCATATACAAACTTTGACTTGTGATTTATCTTGTTCAAAACGACCTGAGCTCTATGAAAGATTTGATGGCTGATCTAGGTGACCCTATGGCTAATAAGGATTACTTAGTTCTTTTGTGCTCTGACAGTTTCGTGGATTCTCTTTTTTTAACAAGCTTGAATAGTGATCTCCAATCTTGCTTCAAATTGCAACAGTGAAAAATACAAACTATAAAAGGAAAATAACTGGGAAGTTGAGACCGGAGGTTAACCTCACATTAGAAACACTAAATACGACTCTGCTTCAGTCTTCAATTACATTTTAGACAAAAAAAAACGGAATCAAGTGTACATCTGTTTATTAAGGTTTGGTGTCGCACGACACATCAAAACCGTAAAAAAAAAACATGATACTATCATCTCAGCAGTAGTTTCCTTGAAGTCAAAGTTACAATGGAAGTATAGCCATAATGCAGAAAAACTTCAAACTCAACAGTGAAAAATACAAACTATAAAGGGAAAATAACTGGGAAGTTGAGACCTGAGGTTAACCTCACATTATTAGTCTAAATTTGGTGGAATCCAGTAAGGTGCCGTGATACTAGAACTGGAATACTCAATCAATAAAAAACAATTGCTGACAGTGGCTGATCCGCAGTGGTCGATTCCAAAGAAATTGATATAGTTATCGTATCCGTCATCGAAGCTAGCGGGGAGACAAAAAGATTCAGCCTTTGAGAGGAAAATGCAGATCTCTCCTATGTCTGTAGTGTACTCAGCGTTTCCTTCCTGGTCTATGTTGAACACCATAAAACGCTCTGTTTTCATCTTCCCGTTGTCGTTGTTTCTCTTGGTGTACCATTTAACTAAAAAAGTTTCACCGGTGGATCTCGACTCCACCAAGTGCTCGCTCCTACAACACGAGTCTAACAGCTCCCACTCTGTTTGCACCAACTCCGGAAGGTTTCGAAACCGCAACTTCTGAACCTTGCGGTTGTGAATGTGTTCTCCGATATCCCATGATCCAATGTAGTCGCCTTCAGAAGAAGGCATTGAGAACATCTCATCTCTCTTTGAGTACATGACATGTGAGTTGAAGAAGCTAGAATCTGTGATTCTGATGTTGGTCCACTCGGAGTTTCTTCGTGCAGGCCTACATATGCTGAGCTGTGGCCCCAAGAACTTGACAGCCACAATACAATCTTCATCCTCAGGACAAGAAGAAGACATGGCTATGTTGGTTACAACTTGGGTTTGGCAATGAGGCAGAGTAACAAGAGGAGGCAATGAAATGCGTTTTGGATTTATATCGGATGCATTTGGGTTTAGATCATCTTGGAGACGCAACACGCCGTCCTTCAAAGTAGCTACCCATCCATGGGACGATCCTACGGTTCCCATTTCCTTCAACAAGTCCATAGGCACCTTCTTTTCCGTAGCAAAGATCGCATCAAAACCATAATTGCTTACCTCGAGATTTCCAATATCCCCATCCCTAACAGTAGTTCCACAGTGTTTAGCGCCCATGGTGCGGCAAGGAAGTTTGTACGACAAGGAAGATGAGAAGAATCGAGCGGTGAGGCCTCTCTGTGGAATAACAGTAGTAATTAGACATTGAAGTATTAGAGAACGAAACCCCATTAAAGAGAAGAAGAGAACAGTAGCTTTACGAGCATAGGCGGTTTCTGAGAAGAAAGCTTCAAGAGCCGGGGGAGAAGCATGACTGTTGTTGGCAGATGATACAAAACCCTAATTCAAGAATTGGTAATACTAATTTATTAAATTTTACAATCTTCTGTATTAAATTATTTAATATAGAGAATTGCCTTGCCAACCAAGTCTTTCATCTTTCAGATTGATTAAGCGTTCTGCAACTGTAGAAATCCATAGCAGCTTTAATCAAAATTTTGTTTTCATGAGATTCTAAAAAATTGATTTTAATTAGAACATATAACATTTTGATGTAGAAAAACATTTTAGATCTCAAAAGTCAAAACCATCCACGATTTAAATTTTTGTTTCAGATCAAATGTTGGTGTTGATACATCCTTCTCCAAGAACATAATTGAAGACTAATAAATAAAAAGCAAAGACTCAGACTCAGATCAAAACTATCAAAACTAACTAGTAGTAGTCTAACTTTGGTGGAGTTTGGGGTGGAATATAGTAAGGGACAGGATAATAAGTGCTAACATTAATGGACGGGTAGTAGTCGTGGAGATTGACTACTCCGCTGTAGTCATGACCCAAGAAAAACACGCGGTTTGGGGATTTCGGAGCCCGAACACAGAAAGGTTCAGCCTCGGAGAGAAAGATGCAGAGATCTCCAATGTCACTAGTGAACACCGCGTTTCCATCCTCATCTATTTTGAATACCATGAAACGCTGCGTTAGCATTCTCCCTTTCCAACGTATGCATCTCTTGGTGTACCATTTAACAAGAAAAGTTTCACCAGTGAGTCTTGATTCCACCAAGTGTTCGCTCTTGGAACACAAATCCAACAACTCCCACTCCGACTGCACCAACTCGGGAAACACTTGAAACCGCAACTTTTGAATCTTTGGGGTGTCTCCGTGTTCTCCAAGATTCCATGATCCAATGTAAGTGGCTCTTGAAGCGGGCATGGAGAACATCTCATCTCTCTTGGAATACATGACACGCGAAGAGAAGAAACTCGGGTCTGTGATTTTGATGTTGGTCCACTCAGAGCTTCGAGCAGGCCTACATAAGCTGAGTTGAGATCCCAAGAACTTGATAGCCACAACACAATCGTCATACTCAGGAGAAGAGGAAGACATGGCCACATTGGTTACAATTTGGGTTTGGCAATGAGGCAGAGTAACAAGAGGAGGCAGTGAAATGCGCTTTGGATCGATATCGGACGCATTTGGGTTTAGATCATCTTGGAGACAGACTACTCCATCATTCAACGTAGCAACCCAACCGTTTGACGCTCCTATCGTTCCCATTTCCTCCACCAACTTCATAGGTACCTTCTTCTCCGTAACAATATAACCATCACTAGGATTTTTATAAATCTTGAGATTTCCGACATCCCCATCCCTCATAGTAGATCCACAATGTTGAGCACCGGCGATGAAACATGGAAAGGTGGTTTGCGAAAAGGTAGTTGAGAAGAAACGACTGGTGAGGTGCCTCTGCGGAATAATACTTAGTACTTAGTAGTAATCATGCAACAGAAAAGGTATTATTACACACCAAGTAGCAATTATACAAAACTAATTTACATCAAAAAGTAGCTTACGACTGCAGGGGTTTTCAGGGAAGAAAGCTTCGAGAGAAGCAGAGACATGGCTGTTGCTAGTAGATGATACAACTTTAGGGTTAGTAAGAAATCTCTCACTCTGTTTTTTGCTTTCAGGTTTATGTTCTTCGTCGTGCAGGCCTGTGGATGCTGTTGTTGTCTTAGTATTTTTTTGGACTTGTGGGCCGTCTAAGGCTTTTTGGGCCTTGTAATCTTTTTTTTTTCTTTCGCCAAGGGCCTTGTAATCTTATCTTTTATCTTATAAATCACAAGTCACCTGGCCAATCGTTTTCTGCCATGTCATTTTTTCTTTTCCAAAATAAATAATTAAATTAAAAAAATGCAGTCGGAAGATAACTTCCTCAAAATAAGGCAGTTCCTATTTTCAATATTATGTATCTTGACTTCCTAAATTTACTCACACGATCACCACGTTCACTAGACAACCATCTCACGATTTCAAAGGTCAAACGGTTTCATCTTTTTCTATTTAACTCACAAGAACTCAATTCTGTTACTTTTATTTCTTATGTATTGTTCTGTTCATTCCTCCCTCACTTTATTCTTTCCTCTGTTTTGTGAATGGTATGGTATCGGGATACTAGAGGCTAGACAATTTAGGAGAAGATATTTTCTGTGACAATTTGCTAATTTTCTTATTACCTAATCTCTGTTTTCTGTAACAATTTGCTAAAAAAAATTTTTTCTTTTTTTGTAGATTACACTCATACAACTGTCAAATACTGAATTTGGTGTGCAAATTAATGGTAAGCATGTTAAACTCTACCAATTTTGAGTCTCACGATGAATTTTAACAGTTTACTTTTCCATGTTGTTGAAACCATCAAACACAACAAGACAAAGCTTTGAGAAACTGGATCTCTCTATACACTAATGGTATTCATCATTACTTGCTACTGCATTTCGTTCTTACTAGAAACTTTCATTGTTGGTGTTTCATTTTTTCCGGATCTTCGAAATTTTGAGTTAATAGTTTCAGAGAGCTTTAAAGTAAAATTTACTTAGTATTGTTTATTAGCATTGATACAATTCTTCGTTTTTATAAGAAATCCCACGATTGATTTTTTTCCACATCTTCCTCTTATTGTTCTTTTTCCATTTTAAAAAAGAATACAAATTTCTTATTTTTGTTGTAGTCACAACAAGAAAGCTAAATGAAGAGGCATTAAAGGAAGCTGAATGAAGAGCACATAGATCAGAAGCTTTATGGCGGTTTGGTGACACAACATGGACATTACGTCAAAACAAAAGCCTTTCAAGAATCTTAACACAACATAAAGCTCAAGTCTTCTAAACACAACAAAAAGCATTTTTAAAATCATATTTCATTTTTCATGAACTCTCTTTCGTTATTTAGTTTCATATATTGTAGTAGTAAAAGAGATGAAGACTTTCCTTAACTAACGAATTATATATCCTCATTATAGATAATGTAATGTGGCATATACGAACTTAATACAAAAATAAGTTGAGTTTTCCTTACGGTCCCGTACGGTAGTACGGGGTAAATACTAGTGTTTTAATAAAGTTCAAAAAGAAAAAAAATGATTAGATAAATTGTCTTAAATATAATATTTTCTATATAATTGATCAAACCGATCGATCATTGTTTTGTTGTCATAAAAGTCATCGCCATCTTGGTTTCGTGATCGGAACCTGACTCGTGGTAAAATGGATAAGATGATCTCAGAAAACGGAGAAACAACTGCCGACGGGTCAATTTGCGGCTATGATTCGCTGCATCAACTCTTATCAGCGAATCTTAAGCCCGAGCTCTATCAGGTGAAGTATCCTATCCCTCCCTATTACTCTTTTAGTGTGTTTGATCTCGTGGAAATTTGTTCCGTACTTCGAATTTTGCGGTGCGTTAGTTACTAAAATCAGGGTTCTTTATTAGCTTCTAATTCGAATGATGATTTTATGGATTATTTTCTAGTGCTTATTTTAGTTATGTTGAACGACTTGTTGATGATTGGAATTGCAGGAGGTAAACCGATTGCTCCTTGGACGTAACTGTGGGAGATCGCTTGAACAGATTGTTCTGCCGGAGTCTGCAACATCCTTGTCTTCAAAACATGATTTTGATCTCCAGGTTGATACTCTGTTAGCTATATACTGTAGGATCAAATCATTGACCATATTGAGAAAATGTTTTGATTTGATCTTTGTATAAATATTTTCTAGGCTGTTAGCTTTTCAGCTGATAAAGAGCAAATGAGAAATCCTCGAGTGGTTAGAGTTGGTCTCATTCAAAACTCCATCGCTCTTCCGACCACTGCTCCTTTCTCGGACCAAACAAGAGGTATATTCGACAAGTTGAAGCCGATGATCGATGCTGCGGGTCTTGCTGGTGTTAACATACTGTGCTTGCAGGTTTGCCTCCATTTGCTTTCTTTTGTAGATGAGTTATGACTTCACTTGCTTTTAACCGTTTTATCGATAGGAAGCTTGGACGATGCCTTTTGCATTTTGCACTAGGGAGAGGAGATGGTGTGAGTTTGCAGAGCCTGTTGATGGCGAATCCACAAAGTTTCTTCAAGAACTCGCTAAAAAGTATAACATGGTGATTGTTAGTCCCATTCTTGAAAGAGATATTGATCACGGTGAAGTGCTTTGGAATACCGCTGTGATTATAGGGAATAATGGAAATATCATTGGCAAGCATCGAAAGGTAAGTTTTCCCTACATGTCAAGTGGTGCTTGGTCTTTTATCTTGTCTGCTAATTTCTAATGCTTGCTCGGTGGCAGAACCATATACCGAGGGTAGGAGATTTCAATGAGAGCACGTATTACATGGAAGGAGACACTGGCCATCCTGTGTTTGAGACAGTGTTTGGGAAAATTGCGGTTAATATCTGTTATGGAAGACACCATCCTCTAAATTGGTTAGCTTTTGGTCTAAATGGTGCAGAGATTGTCTTCAACCCTTCAGCAACTGTTGGTGGACTCAGTGAACCAATGTGGCCTATTGAGGTTTAATTTCTGATTCTCCAATTTACTCAGTTTGAAGTTTTTTTTCTGTAGTAACACTGTCTGACAATTCAGTCTGTTCCTTAAAACCTCAGGCACGAAATGCCGCGATAGCAAACAGTTACTTCGTGGGATCCATTAACCGAGTTGGAACTGAAGTATTCCCCAATCCTTTTACGTCAGGTGATGGAAAACCGCAACACAATGATTTCGGTCATTTCTATGGGTCAAGCCATTTCTCTGCACCGGATGCTTCTTGCACACCGTCTTTGTCCCGTTACAAAGACGGGTTATTGATCTCGGACATGGATCTCAATCTCTGCCGGCAATACAAGGACAAATGGGGATTTAGGATGACTGCAAGATATGAAGTCTATGCCGAACTTTTGGCTAAGTACATAAAGCCAGACTTCAAGCCTCAAGTCGTCTCTGATCCATTGCTCCACAAGAAATCTTCATAAGAAGAAAATTTCCAGTGGCTTGAATCTGTGAATCTTCAAAAGAAGAAACTGTTCAATGTTCAATCATTTGTGTAACTGTAACAGAAAATCTGTTTGTATCTGAATATATGAATAAGTTGATGTCAAAAGGCAGCTCTTTGCTTTTATAACCGAAACGGTTCATAATTGAACCGGAATCCAATTTCAAAAAGAACCGGAATCAGATGCTATGGACTGTGGGGGACTCGTCGTCATCTTCTATTCGTTATCCGTTTTGAAGTGTACTCAGATGGGATTGAGTTTCGCAGCTGCTTTAAATCCAGAAAAATAATGCAATCTCTCACCTTAACTCGATACCCAACTCCAATTTCCCCGCCAAGACTCAATCTTTACCCGCTAAGACAAATCGCAGCGTCTGTTCTCTCTGTTCCGACCACCGGCAACCGTAGCGAGATGACGTCTCGTCGTGAGTGTGCTTCCTTTAAGTCCCTCGCCGTTGGTCAGACTTCGACCGGTGATGGTGATGATGGTTACTGTACTCTCATAGACTTTGCAGGTAACAACTGCTCTGTCTGAGCGAACTTGACACCTGTCTCGATAATTCAAGTTAATTTTTGTGTTCTCTGTCATTCACTGTCAATCTATGTCCGAATATCTTGAATTTTAGTGGAAATACCCTGACTTTAGCATATAAAATGTGCTTAATTGAGTAAGATAACTCTTGGAAACTCTCGCAGACCAAACTGTGGATGGGTTTTGAGGGGTTCCTCTGTGAAGTTTCAATTTTGAGTGGAATTTAAGTTGTTTATGAAATTTTCTGATAGGTAATGGAGGAGGAGAAGGGACAAAGGTAGGAGATGATCTTGTGGTGTTGCTTTACCACATACAACATGCCTGCAAAAGAATCGCTTCTCTTGTCGCCTCTCCTTTCAATTCTTCACTCGGAAAGCTCTCTGTTAACTCCTCTAGTGGGTCAGATCGAGATGCACCTAAGCCGCTCGATATTGTCTCGGTCTGTATCTCGTTACTCTCTTTTTATCATGATTTATATCAAGATTCAATCTTACAATTCATGTTTCCGTTTTGCAGAACGATATCGTCTTGTCCTCTCTTAGAAACTCAGGGAAAGTAGCAGTAATGGCTTCTGAAGAAAACGATATTCCAACTTGGATAAAAGATGACGGTCCTTACGTTGTGGTTGTAGATCCTCTAGATGGGTCACGGAACATTGATGCTTTGATACCCACAGGAACTATATTCGGGATTTATAACCGCCTGGATGAGCTTGATCATTTACCAGTCGAAGAGAAAGCTGAGCTCAATTCTTTGCAGAGAGGCAACAGGCTTGTAGCTTCCGGTTATGTGCTCTACTCTTCAGCCACTATCTTCTGTGTTACACTTGGCTCGGGAACACATGCCTTCACGCTAGACCATTCCACAGGAGAATTTGTTCTTACCCATCAAAACATCAAGATCCCTACTCGAGGTAAAAAGCTTCTAATGGCACATATGACTTGATCCATTGCAACATCCCTAATCAATGTAATCATGACTCTAAAAAACTTGCATTGATCATTGTTCATTGTATCATCAACATAGGACAAATCTACTCAGTGAACGATGCGAGGTACTTCGATTGGCCAGAAGGTTTAAGGAAGTACATTGACACAGTGAGACAAGGCAAAGGTCAAAACCCGAAAAAATACTCGGCGCGTTACATTTGTTCTCTCGTAGCTGATCTTCACAGGACTCTGTTATACGGTGGAGTGGCTATGAATCCTAGAGACCATCTCCGTTTAGTCTACGAAGGAAACCCTTTGGCTTTTCTCGTGGAACAAGCTGGTGGCAAATCCTCTGATGGAAAAAGAGGGATACTTTCGATACAACCAGTGAAACTTCACCAGAGGTTGCCTCTGTTTCTTGGGAGCATAGAGGATGTTACTGAGCTTGAAAGCTATGGAGATGTGCAGCAGACTGTGAATCCTGGCTATGAAGTTTAAAAGATTCCTCTGTTTCATACTGTGTACAAATCATAAATCGATGTTAGTTCTTGTTCATTGTAACATTTGGTACTAGGAAGGTTAGATCCGTGTATCTGTCTATCAAGATCGACAGGTAATCTGGTATAAGTCAGAAGTTTATTTTGATTCTTTATCAGACATTAGCCTTTCGTCGTAATTCTTGAATCAAAATTTAACACACTAATCCGGTACGGTACGGTTTGTTAGCCTTTGGTGTAGTTTTGTTAGATTTCGGTTAAGTTAAGTGAGAAGGATTAAGCCGGTACGGTACGGTTTGCCGATAAAAATACGTTATATAATGCGGTTATTTGGCGCAAGTTAGCAACTTAGCGTTAAAGACCGTCAAAGACTTCTCCTGAGTCCTTTGCGCCGGAAACCGCCGTGACGAGATTACAGAGGGAGAGAGAGATATCATGGAGAGAAAAAGCTTTAATACAGAGAAGAGATCCGGAGCACTGGATCCGGGTTCAGGATTCGGATCTTCGAAGAGGGTCAAAACACATCACACGCAGCTGCTTCCGCCTCTGGTTGTGCCGGTGGGACACGCGGCATTTAGATTGCTCTGCCCTTTATCGCACGTCGGTGCGGTGATTGGAAAATCTGGAAACGTTATCAAACAGCTCCAACAATCAACCGGAGCTAAGATACGGGTAGAGGAGCCTCCGTTTGGGTCTCCGGATCGGGTCATCACGATAATTGCGCAAGCAGATTCGAAATCAAGGGTGAAATTGGGTGTTAATAACAATGGGAATGCAGAAGGAGAGAAGAAGGAGGAGGAAGTTGAGGTATCTAAAGCACAAGGAGCGTTGATTAAGGTATTCGAGCTTTTAGCGGCGGAAGCGGATAGTGATACGGTCGTGTGCCGATTGTTGACGGAGTCTAGCCATGCCGGTGCTGTGATAGGCAAAGGTGGTCAAATGGTGGGGAGCATTAGGAAAGAAACTGGCTGCAAAATTTCTATACGGACTGAGAATTTGCCGATTTGCGCTGACACTGATGACGAGATGGTGGAGGTACGAATTCAAATTGATACTAAATTGAGTTCTCAATGTTGCGTTTCAGATACTTTCTTTGGAGTCTAGTTACCCTCTTCCGGTTTAATACTCTATAGATGCTTGTTTTTGCAGATTGTAATGTATTGTTTCTTATATTGAACTATGGCAGATTGAAGGAAATGCTATCGCTGTGAAGAAAGCTCTTGTGTCTATCTCCCGCTGCTTGCAAAATTGTCAATCGATTGACATGGTAAGGATGGTCGGAAACAGACCTCTAGAAAAAGAGTTCCAAGCATCTTTGCATAGGCCGATAGAGACAATCATTCAGGAGTCTCTTCCTAGGTCCATTGAAGTTAACCCTTACGATTATAGGCTGAGGAAAGACGAGATATTTCCCCGAGGTACCTTAGCTCGGTCTAGCGATGTGATTCCTCATGATACTTTGCATCATAGGCATATCGAGGCGGTTCCCCAGGGTGCTTTACGCATGCATATTGAGGCAGACCGGCAAGATGCTTTACGCAGGCATGTTGAGGCGGACCGACAAGATGCTTTACGCAGGCATATTGAGGCAGACCGGCAAGATGTTTTACGCAGGCATATTGATGTGGTTCCTCGAGAAACGTTATACATGCCTTCCGATGTTGTCAGGGGAGATTGTTTTCGACAGCATAAAGAGAGGGATGATTCTCTTGATTCCTTGCATAGACCTTTCGAGATGGTTCCACGTGATGCTATGGGCATGCCTTTTGAGTCGTTTCCACGTGATGCTTACGGAAGGCCTATTGAAACAATCCCACAAGAAACTCTTCGTCGGCAAAGTGCAGATTATCTTGCACATCGTTATTCGACTCTAGACACACATAGCATTACTACGTCTGCTTCAATAGCTAACACTGCCTCCATGAAGCCGCCTCCATCAGAAGTGGAAGTAGGGAACCAAGATGTGGTTTTTAAGATACTTTGTTCCACTGAGAATGCTGGCGGAGTTATCGGGAGTGGGGGTAAAGTTGTCAGGATGCTTCATAGCGAAACAGGTGCCTTCATAAATGTGGGAAATACACTTGCTGATTGTGAAGAACGTCTGATTGCAGTAACTGCACCAGAGGTTGGTCTTTTCTATTTCTTCCCATTCATGGATGCTTATGCAATACTGTTCCATCTATTTACTATTCTTGTTTGATAATTGTTGCTTGTTCATCATGTAGAACCCTGAATGTCAAAGCTCGCCAGCCCAGAAAGCTATTATGCTTCTTTTTTCTAGATTATTTGAGCTTTCCACTAAAAAAATCCTAGATAATGGCCCAAGGACATCTATCACTGCACGGCTTGTTGTCCCAACAAGTCAGATTGGTTGTGTGCTGGGGAAAGGAGGTGTTATTGTTTCAGAAATGCGGAAAACCACTGGGGCCACAATTCAAATTTTGAAGGTTGAGCAGAACCCAAAATGTGTTTCAGAGAATGATCAAGTTATCCAGGTACTTAGATCATTTGTTGACCTTATGGTTATGGTACATATTCCAATTACAAGGTACTAATTGGTCAAAATATCTAATGTGCTTGTGACAATCTCTCATATGATTTGTGAAGCATAATTTGGAATCAGCATGCTAAATGTTAGTGCTTTGCTTTTGATTACCGAATCCCGTGTTGGTCTCTATTCACCTTGCACACTTGTCATAAGTTGGTGGAATTTAAGTTACTGATATTTTCTGAAGAAATTGAAGCATTCATGCAAACAGAGAGAGTAAACAAAAAAAATTACTAAAAAACTTGGGTGAGAGATTAACTCGGGAAATGTAGTTTTCATGTTATTCTTTTTTTAAGCACCATTGTTCCTAAGTTTTCTGGCATAAACTTATTATTTGCTGGCCAATAGATTACAGGAGAGTTCCCTAATGTGAGAGAAGCCATTTTCCATATTACAAGCAGGCTGCGAGGCAGTGTTTTCTCCAACTCAATGAAAAATTCCAAAACCAAGAGCAGCTCCGCGTTAGCTACAGAGAGAATCTACCACAGACAATCAGATAATCCTCTGTCTATTGGGTCTCATCAATCCGTTAGTAATCCACCTACCAACTCTTCAAGTCTGCACAGAAGATCTGAGGATTCCTTTTTAAGTGGGTCTCATTCATCAGTTAACTATTCCAGACCTGTTGGCACAGATCCTTACGTAAGACCAGAAGACCCGTTTCCTGATAGGTTTAATCCCTCAGCAGGCTATTCTCCTAATTTTGGTCGGCGGTTTACCATGGACCACAGTGATATCTCCCATCACTTAACTGAGGTCCCATCTCGTTTGTGGGCGTCCCCGGTATGTCTCCATCTCTCTGTATTTTCCCATTCTCCCCTTTCTGGTGTACATAAGTACTTGTTGATACTCCCATTCTTCAGATTTTGAACATTTGTGCTTCTGCTTAACTTCTGTGGCTGATATACATAGTTTTTCTGTAGCCTCCAGCAGCTCCAAGAGGCTTATCTGATGCCAGTGGCGGATTATCTTCTGCTAGGGCTGGCCATGCGCTTGGCAGGTAAAAGCACTACAATTATAGACAGTTTTGTGAGATTATTGCTCTGATCTTTGTGTAATTTACATACTCGCTTGGTCTTTTCTAGTGGACACAAATCTGCCATCGTTACAAACACAACCGTGGAAATTAGAGTTCCAGAAAATGCTATGAGCTTTGTGTATGGAGAGCAGGGCTACAATCTAGAGCAACTGAGACAGGTAAGCCATTTTTTGTTTACAAATCTTTTATTGGCTTGCCCCATAACGTCATCCATAGGCCATGATTTAATTTCTCCACAAGAGCAGCTATAGGTTTTAGTTTCCATTGGCTGCTCTTATACCAAGAATCAACAACGGCTGAAAAGAAAACGGAAGTGAACTCTAGGGTTACTAAAAGGAAAGAATGAGCAAAGAAAATTCATATACGTAAAATCTTATACATGGTGCAAACCATCCTGCCACCATTAATCTAGGTCTGTAGTAGTCTAGGACTATCCTCAACGATGCATAACGTAACTAAAAAAAAACTGTTTTAAGTCACGAAAACTCCATCTTCATTGAAGTACTCGAACCTTTGTTCCATTATTCAGTGTTACACCCTGGTCGTTGTTTAAAATCAGAATTCTCATCTAGCCCCATATAGTCTGAGATGATCATCTACTGACCAAATAGAGTTAGTGTTTAAAGATGAAGTAGCACCCCATTGGTTGACTAAAACGGCTTAAGCATAGCTTATACCATCTGATGCTTGTTTACTCAGATATCGGGTGCGAGGGTCATAGTCCATGAACCTCCTCTAGGAACAAGTGACAGGATCATTGTCATATCTGGAACACCTGATCAAACCCAGGCAGCTCAAAACCTCCTTCATGCCTTCATCCTTACAGGTGAAACCTCATTGTCCAAAAAATACAACCTAAACTAGAACCACACGGTTGTAACCATACAAGAAACAAAAAATAGTCGAGCTCTCACATGTTTCTTGTTTTATTTAATCTTTTTTTTTTTTGTTGATTTGGATCTTTTGATGAACTCTTGTACAATATCTTTTTTCGTTTTAAGTACTTTGAAGGAATCAGTTTGATGTCTTCCCTAAAATTTTCTTCTTTTACCACACATTATTACACATGGAACTGAGATTGGATTGAAAGGATACAGAGGAACAATCATTACTATAGAAACAGCGATCTCACAAAAATGTTCAGTAGAAAATCTTTACAAAAGGAAAACTTGAGAACAATGGGTCAAATATGTTTTTTGCTTTGGATTGCTAAAACCTGGTCGCACATTTTCTTTGTAGACTGTTTATTTTTATTTTTCAGCTTCTCACCATCTTTTAGCTATGAAAATGAAATGGTAGAATAATTTACAGTAATTTAACTCTGAAGTTCCTGAATCAAATCCAAAAAATTGTTACAAGCAAACAGAGTTTTACTGATGGTTTTGTGAAACCCTACACTTAATAGCTTTCACATTCTCAGAAGTCAGAACATTTCTTCTTTCTGTAGCAAAACTACAATACAACCCGTATCGAAGATTCTAAACACATTTGCTCTACTAAACTCACTATCAGTAATCTAATCAATAGTAAATGCAAAATTAAGATTCATGCGCAAAACCTAGTGTAAAGCGAAAAACTCTGTAATTTGGGTCTGTCAAAATTGTCGAGTGTCTTGCTATGTTGAATAGAATTCGTATATTTTCTACATTACATTTGTTCGTTATCATCCAAAGACGAAGATCTTCGATGGAGTTAAACCGACCAGACAGGGTCAGAAGCAGATGTGGAGCTTTTGTATTATAAACATCAAACCCCAGCCATTATTTCATTTTTTTTCTTACAAATTACAGGTGTGTATACAATTTTAAAGAAAGATATTTATCTTGTAATATTTTGTTGACAAGTTTTTTTTCTTCTTTCGCTAAAGGTACTCTATAAAATTAATTTCCTCGAAGTCGAAAAGTTATGTTCGATAGAACTTTGAATTTGAATGCTAAAAAAAGACGAGGAAGAATGATTTGATATTTTGATGGATAAGTTACAAAAGTCAAATGTTTTGGGCCTTTCTAGAATCCAGGTTTGGGCCAAAATTAAATAACGGAAAACATTTGGTACTTGTAAAAATTATCGACTTACAACCACTTAAAAACAGACACGTCTACATATCCGCGTGGCTTGACCTCGACTCCGTTTATTTCTTTTTGCCTTTATAAATAACCGCCTCCACATAAACGTGGTCGCTTAATAGCTTCTTTTGCAATCTCTCCATTTGCTTAATCTAATCTCATTTTCGTTTCATCGCCGTCGTCTCTCTATCAAAATGGGTCGCCGTAGCTCAGGAGGTAAAGTTTCTTCGCTTTCCAATTTCAGATCTATAAGATTCTTTTAGATGTTGACGACAAAAGTCGTGTTTTGGTTTTGGGTTCGTTTATGCGTGTATCGCACCGATCTAGGGTTTACCTTGTTATTGTCCTTGCCGGATATCAGATAGTCAAATATTCTTAAAGGTATTATTAGGCTTGGTTTAGTTTCCAATTCGAGACAGGGTGGTTGTGATTGATTTCATTGTTGATTTCTTCTTTGGATGTCAAATTTTTTGAAGGCAAATGAGAAAACTTTTTATTTTGTTTTTGTGATATTTCTCTCATTTTGTCTTCATTTGTGCAGGAAGATCTGCTCCTCGCCCTCGTCCTGCTGCTGCACGCAGCCCAGCTCCTCAACCTGGTAATAATCCGAAATTGTCTTTTTGCTCTCTCTTCAGTTAATGGCTATTCAATCTATTCCACTGGATTCAATTATTTATAAATCTTTCTCTCTGGGTTTTGTTTTTCAGTACACCGTGCACCTCCTCCAGCTCCAGCTCAGGCCAGCGGTGGTGGTGGTGGCATGTTCTCAGGCATTGGTTCTACCATTGCTCAGGGTAAATCAGCCTATTCTGTCTTTTTATCTATTGAAATTTGAAGCATTTATTTGTCTGTCTATACATTACCCAATTGTTTTGTCTGGAATTGTCTTTCCTGACCTGTTTGTGTTTGTGGGACCTAGGTATGGCTTTTGGTACTGGAAGTGCAGTTGCACACAGGGCTGTTGATTCTGTGATGGGTCCACGAACCATTCAACATGAAGCTGTTGAGGCTGCTTCTGCATCTGCAGCTCCTGCTGGAAACGCCATGCTTTCTAGCACCTGTGACATTCATGCTAAGGCTTTCCAAGATGTAAGTGTTGAATCTTTTTCTCATACTATCACACTATCTTATGTGTTATGTGTTAGTGGTGGTTTAACATAAAGGTGGTGTCTTTAACTCTAGTGAAGCATGCCCATTGAAACTTGTTTCCGAACATTGATTAAAATGGGATAATCACATTTTCATTGTTGAAGTCAAGCAAATCCAAGGCTATGTCACTGATTATTGTTCTTTTTTAAATGAATGCAGTGCATCGGCAGCTATGGAAGCGAGATTAGCAGATGTCAGTTCTACATGGACATGTTGTCCGAGTGCAGGAAGAACTCTGGTTCCGTGATTGGTGCCTAGAGTTCCATTTCTTATTTGTTTTATCTAAAAAATTATCCAGCTTTGATGATGCTGAGAATTTGGATTTGATGAATAACAGTATTTTGTTGCCAGAACCAGAAACTGCATGTTTGAAGTCTTATTATGGGTACTCGTTTGTAAGACTTGGGTTCTATCCCTTTCTAATCAAATAATGCAAGTTTTTAAAAGTCTTTTGGTCTTTTGGGTATGTTTGCTTTTGGTTAGCTTGGGATGAAAAATACCAACATGGCATCCTTTTACAACGATTATAAAACATTAGAAAATGTTTCAATTAGATAATTTACACAATTGGCGACCCTTTGATTGGATCTCATCATCATAGGGGACATTGTTTATTTCGGTGTGTTACAACTAGAACATTGTTACACCGGGAAAGAAAACCAAAATTATAGAGAAAAAAAGAGTCACTTTTCTCTTGCCCTTGTTAAAATTCTTTGCGTAATTTTTTAGTCGAAAAGAAGCTGACACGAATTTGAAGTCGTAGTTACAGATACCAAGTCCTTGAGCATCTTATATTTGGCGTCAGTGTCATTGCATTGTGGCAAGAAAGTGGCTGTCTTCAAACGAGTAGCGTTCTTCATAATAAAGGTCGCCATCTCTAAATCTCCTCGTCTCCCTTTGTAACCGCTCCATGCGAATGTTTCAAGACTGTCCGGAATAGAACTCGGCCGCTTCCAGCAATCTGGAGTTTCGTCAGTAGGATATTGTTGTTCATCGGTGAGTTTGAGAGATACTAGTTTGGGTGAATTTTGGAGCATTTGAGTGAGGAGCTCCCACCAACCTTGCGCACATATATTTAGGTTGAGATGAACAAGCCGATAGAAGTAGATGATCATACTAGGAACCTCTGAGAGTAGTGGTACGCATAGATAAAGGCGGCGGGCAGAAACAAGAGCTCTCAGAAACTTGTGGGTAACTCCTTGAGTGATGTCAACATACGCCTCGGTCAAATTGGGCATATTCTCAATTCGACGAGAGTCATAGACAACATCATCAATAATCTTAAGGTACTTGAGACGAGGAGCCTCTATCACAAACACACCACTCTTACTCTTGTATCTCATCATGTCCCACAAGGATAAATGTCGTAAACAAGGCAACGCGATAGTGGTGTCTTCTCCCTCGTGTTCTTCTTCATTCACACACATTTTAAGATTTTGAAGATAAGGACAGCCGCGTAAAATCTTATGAAGACATGCGTAACCCATTTTCACAAGACGCAAACTCTTGAGAAACGGGAGGCAACAAGGAACATCCGGAACAAGGCAATGTACAAGCACTAATTCACCTATTGTTTCACATGTGAATAGGCTACTCGGCAAACTGACTGATGACCCTGACCGGATTTGTACTATAAGCCAACGCACGCGGCGAGAAACCGCAGTTTCAATCCATATCCCAACATCTACGGTGTCACACTTAGGACCAAGGTCAAGATGCAAATTGTATAGAACGGGCGCCTTGTTTTTCATCAAAGTCCTGTAAGCAAGCTGTGTGAAACTCTTATAGTCAACATCATCATTATCATAGTTGCGATCATCGAGATGAATTGCTGACACTAAACTCCAAAGAGACTTCCATCTTTTCGAGACAAGGCTTGTGGCCTTTACATCTTTTGTTGGAACCAACGACAGTATTCGCAATAGCAAGTCATCTGAAAGTAGACTGATCATGTCCATCTCCGGAACTGCAAAACCAAAGAAGACGAAAAGATAAGCCTTTGAGAGAACGTATAAAGCCGCCGTCTAGACACGTAAGAAGAAAAACATACAGGGATTGTTTAGAGATACGGAATTCCTTGTTACTCAAGCTATCTTGTTTCTTTTACTCGGTAAAAGTATTGATCGTTTATTAATGAATCAGACTCAAGACCCGTATATATATGTACACTAACCCTAATTTATAAGGACACAAAATCCTGGATTGAAAATCAAGAACAGAAATCAATTAAGGAAAGAAGAATATGCGGAGACAAGATATGACCTTTTTCCTTAATTCAATAAATCTCTGGCAGTGTGGCGGTTTTATGAGATTCTAAGACTTGCATCACACACAAAAAAAAAAATGGCCGAAACGTTTTCTCAAACTCACGTTTTAAGACTTGCTGCGATTGCGCGTGATTCCAAAACACAGTTGAAGCTTCGTTTAATACATCCGTCGGTTATGTTCTAAAAACAAAACCGGCCGGTTTGGGATCACAAGTCTGATTTGAATCCTCTGGCTGGATTCCGAAACGGCGTAGTTTGAATATATAAATCGAGTCCACGCCTAGTCAACGTCTTTAATTCCCTCATACTCACCGCCTCCAAAATCCTCCACAAAGAGCGTAACTGCGTTCATATTGATGATCTTGATTCTGAGTCCAACGCTGTTGTGGTTGTGTCCAGCTCCATGACCTTCTCTTTTTATTGAAAGATGCTCCTTATCAAAACCGGTTGTATGTATTCAACGAAAACTATGTGGATCCTGGTACTTGGGGACTCAAGACCTTCCTTGTCCTCTTGTTCTGGAAGCTAACTCTTTACAACTATTTTTCTGTGCTTATGTAAGAATAATTTGTTCGCTACAATTTTAGTTGGATTCTTGTTTGAATTTTTTTTGAAGTTCTTAGTTACTTTATGTATCATACATTGTTGTAACACACCAATGGAGCCTAAGATTATTTAACCGGACAACCATCAACGATTACTCCTCTAGCGGTTGGACACTTTGCTAGATCACAATGCTCACCTCTTGTTCCCCACCAGTCCAAACTCTTCTCCTCCATCCCCACCGAGAAGTACAACAAAACCGCCATGAAAGCTACACCGGCGTCCATAGCCGCTGAGAGAACGTAGTTATACCTCTGCCACCAACTTTTCCTGTACCGGAACACAAACAAGTTGAATATCGTCCCGACCAATATCCATGAATTGTAGTTCACTGCGGTTGCAGGTGGCATCATTGCGGTTGCTCCTAGAAGAACAGGGAGATTCACAAGTGGAATCCAAGAACGTTTTGGGAACGCTTTGTGCAATGACCACACGATGACTGGTCCTAACGCACCTCCGAGGAAAAACCAGTTCATGGCCGCATAGTTTCCCTGAGAACCAAATATCCGTTTTGGTCCGACCAATCCCCAAATGACTGATGCATCGAAGAAAACACGGTCACCGGGACATGTCCATGGACTGTTGGGAGGTAGAAGTTCCTCTTGACATATGTTTTTGATAGAGTTTAATTGCCACCATGCCACCGTTATGTTGATTGTTCCGGCAAGAATTGTACCGATGAATTGAACCAAGAACATGGATCTAGGTGGGATCTTCATGTAATGACCAAGTTTGAAGTCATTTAAGAAAGAGACAGCTTGTGCCATACTCATATATCCATAGACTTTGAAGCATACGTTTGCGATAGGTCTTCCCGGGTAAATGAGTCCCATTGCGTACTCTGTTATTATATTCAACCCCGGTGTCTACAAAACAGGTAAAAAATGAATATAGCTCGTTGCAATATAAACTAACCATGGATTCATATTTGATCAATACTGCTTACTTGGTTAGTTGTTGCGGTTATGATGCTTATCGGGAGGGTGAAGACGAAAGCCATCGCACTTGCGAACACAAGTCCCCACCAAGGCATTTGAACCTCATCGTTCAAGAAAATACATAACGCAAGAGAGATAAGTAGTGTAGCAGCCAACATGGAGTAAAACCACCATGAAGGTATGTCTTTATATCTCTTCATTAACCTAGTGTGTATATCTTCTTTGCCTTTGTATGAAACACGAAACCTCTCGGAAATTTCCCTGTTGATACAAAATAATACTAATTACATATATCACTCATGCATATAAAAATAATAATGTGTTGCTATATATGCCGTTACGCTACTTATAGTACTTACCTGCCATAGAAGAGAGCTACATGAGTGAGTGTAGAAGCAATGGTGGCGAAACCAAGCCCATAGGAAAGAGCAAAGAACATGCTCAAGTTAATCCTTCCTTGTTGCTCATACTTAGCTAAATCGAGCTCAAAGTTATCATTCACGATCGCAGGAATATCGTATGTTTTACCAACCGATGTGAAGAGATGGGACGAAAATATAGGAAACCTCGTAGCGTTATAAGAATCAAAACCCCAATAGGCTAAAGGCAACACGAGGTAGATCAAAAGAACATAACCGACGAAAACATTAGCGATGGCGAAGAAGGGGCTGATAAGTGGACTGAACAAGAAAGAGGCAACCGCGGTCCAGTCGAGTGTGAAGGCTCCAAGACCGAGACCTCTCATTCCCGAACCGATCTGTTGAGCAGTGACTGATCTTGGAAATGCCCAACAAACCCATGAGATGCTTGTGAGTGTTGTGAAGAGATAGCCAGGGACTATGTACCATCCGAAACTACATACTAATGCTATCACAAAGAATTTTGCTCTCGTCATCCTTTGGTCGTCCTTCTCATGCAATGCCCTACATGAAATTGAAAGAAAAATATCAATTATTTATTCATATGATTTCGAGATTTCGAATCAATTTTGATTAGACTTATTACGATATACACGTAATTAATTCGTCATCAGTATAATTAGATATAAAGTTTTGTGTCAACATCTAAAATTTCCTAAGTCCCTCGTTAATTATATGTTGAATAGTAAATACGCATAGACCCACCATGTGCAAACGTCCACTACAACCACAGATTAAACAATTAACTCCCATTTATTGTTATTATAAATTCCAAAACTCAATTGTCGCCGAAAAATCAATGAATCAAAAACTTAATTAAGACGATCGATAACGTGTGGAACATCTTAAAATGATTTGTTTTTTAAATAACATATATATATACGTTTTCCTTTGTCATGGACTTATTACTATAAAATGTGAAAGTGTTAAAGAATTTGTGGACCACGAGTGAATGAGTTAGTTCATACTCACGTAGACGCAAAAAGCCCGCCATGTCTACAGCTTGACTCACGTGGATTCATTACATTTCTACGTTTTTTTTTTTTTGGCTCTATCCTTGTAAAAATGTAATTTTCCTATAAATGTGGAGATATATGTATACATATTATGTATGTTATGCCTTTGGTCAATCTTGTGTAAATAAATGGATAAGAACTAAGAAGTGGTCACATGATCGATCAAAGGATAGCCCACAAGCGTGGACCATAATTTTGGCTAGTGTTCATTATATCATAGTGGGTAATTTATTTTCTATATATGTTGACCTAATGACCTATTGAGAAATCTAACTCTTTTTTGTTCTGAAAACCATCATAATATACGTACGTGATGTATCAATCTTAGCCAAATCAATAAGGGATTAAAATCTACAAAAGAAAATGGTGTGAAAATGGAAAAATAATAAATTAATAATAGAGGAAAGTCAATGAGAGATTGCACCCGCAAATGGAGTCAAAACTCGGAATGCTCCGAACTCGAAAAACTAAATCTTGCTACACGATAGTATAAAATGATGTATGTCTTTGGGATGTTTTTTGGGAAAAGAGATATGGATAAGCATGAATTTATACCCATATTATTATTCGACATGCAATTGTAGAAATAAAATGTTTTTACTTTGGATTAAGGTAAAACTAATAAAAGTAATCCCAAAGTTGCCTTCTCCCGCATATCATGTAACTTTAAATGGTATACAGTACTTAGTAATCCCTTATATTATATGCTTAATACAATTAAGAGTACCGTAGAAAACTCACCGAAACAGTGAGACTTGAACCAGAGTGCTAGGCCACCACATGTGTGCCGGTTCGACCACATATTTTCTCAGTAAACCGGCCCAGCCATATCCCAATACCTACAATTGTACATCAACTATATAACAATAACATTCAAATATGAAATAAGAATCAAATGGCATCGCCGATGATATCACGCAAACCGACAAAATTTCCTTTTAAACCAAAAGTCTAACCTATATTCGCAAATCATTATTTTTATTTGTTGTTTGTTCTCTAACGAAATCATGAATCTTTCCTAGAGAAAAAAAAGTTACACGTGGCTTAAAATTCCAATTTACAGAGATTTTGTTTTTCTTCTAATTAAAAAACCGATTAGATTGAAGTAGAGAAGCAAATTGTATCAATCATGCAACATTAAGACGTAAATATCTTGAACTTTCATAATCTTTCAACTCGTTTTTTTCTGAATCTTCAATTATTTGGTGACTTTAACTAAAGTGATATATTTATTATATAGAATACATAAAAAGTTGAGAAAATGACTAAAGTTAGAATACCTGGGTAGTGATGATGAGGAGCCAACCGGCAATAAAAGAGATATTCCGGCCATAAAAAGCTTTAATAATTGTGATGATACCAACCGCATAAGCTGACCCGGATCCGAAAGCACTACCCGCATTCGCAAAAATCGATATCAAAACATGCTCTTTCATGTTAAACGGACCCGGGTTCAACGAGAACCGGGCCGATCCACAGCCGGGTATTCCAAACCGGGTTTTGGGAAGCACCTTCGCCAAGAAATGACCGATTGGGAGTGTAGCCACCTGAACCGTGATTTGAGTGATTACGAGCGGTTCGGTTCGGTACGAGAAGAATTGGTTAAGGAAGGAGAGGAGAGAACATGAGATTAGACCCAAGAACCACATCCTGAATGTCCAAACCGGTAGTGTCGGATCGTCGGTGTTTGTTACCGTTAAACGGACTTCTTCAATCGGCGATGTGTCTTCATCGGAGAATTCGTCGGCGGTGGCCATTCCGGTTTTGTTTGTGTGTGAGTGAGAAAGAAAGAGAGATAGATAGATACTATAAGACGAGGAATCTTTATGTGAGACTGACAAGAGCCATATCTCTTTTTATACTAATAAAGATTTGTTTTAATTTTCAATAAAGAGAAATTAGATTAGATTATTTTAAATATAATTATTGATTGGAATCTATTGAGTCAACTATATGAAGATATGATGTTGTAACCAATGAGACTTTGTTATTATTTTGTGATTAATTTAGTAGTGACTAGTGGCCAAAATAAAGAGAAAATTTTATGCTTGATGCTTATGACGTAAAAAGAAAATTATGTTTTTAGTTTAGAAATTAGATGATTGTAATAAAATACGAAATTTAAAGAGTTGAAGGAACCTTTTGGATGTTGATAGTCTTCGTCGTCTTGCATCTTATTCTTAGAATACGGCATTAAACTATGAATTTTCCAAGCATTCACATTGTATTTAATTTGTGTATCACCAACGCTACATGCTTTTAAGTTTTAATGACTTATTGTGGAAAACTTTTCAAAAGAAAAAGAAAAATCAAACAACTAGTTTTTCTTTGTCTTCCTAATATATGACATATCAATCCTTATCTATATGACTATATGCATTCTAGTTGTTCCGAATAACCTCATTCATGGAAGACTAACATTCAAAAATTCGTCAAAATAATATGTTAATTTTGGTTTGTGTCAAATATCTCAAAACTAAATTCTTGACTAAAACAAGATTGATGTTTTTATCAAAGTGAATCGTTTTTTTATTTCTCGGTGGTTACTGTGAGTTTATAATCCAGTAAAAAACCCATGAATTCAAAACATTTCTTAAAGCTATTTTTATGAATGGTTTTGGTTCAAGCCAGTATATATATATATATATGGTTTAGAGATGAAGAAATAAAGTAGAGAAACAAACACTCGAATGTTAAAGAGTTTGGAAGCTCAATTGTCTTGTGATGGTAAAATATATGGGTTTTAAAACTCCTGTCGTTGAATTTGGGCTTAGTGTTGTGTTATCATTGTTAACACTTTTTCCCTTTTCGTGGGCTTTAATTTTCCAAGTGAAGTTGGGCTTCATGACATCTTTCGTTCGGTGAGAAAGAAAAAAACAATATCAACAAAAAATGTTTATTTAGTAATATTATTACTGAGAGGATGATTTAGTTAAAAAGAAAAAGAAAGTTGATTTTTTAAAACCATATGATGCTATTTAATTAAGAACTATGAAATTCAACAATTTGCTTTCATACAAATTGATATTATTTTAAAATCGTATTTAATAAAAGAGTAGAAGAAATAAATATTTTAATTGATGGGAAAAATGGTAATTTTTCGGCGAGTGGTATAATATTATTTATTTAATTCTAAACCCTAAAACTAAAACCCTTTAGTTGGAGGGACATTATAACGACAGCGAAAAGCTTCACTAGTCGATTAGGGTTTTTTTTCTTAGCCCCAATTCCCAAATTCAAAATCGAAGCTTTTTTAATGGGCAGTAAGAAGAGAAGCAACGACGACTCGACGGAGGTGGTGGAGAACAACAATCTCACCGATTCTTCAATTGTGAAGAATAAGAAATCTAAAACCGAGAAGATGAATACTGATTCTGATACGGCGGCGGCGGCGGCGGCTCCTGGTGTTGCGAGCTCCGGTAAGGATATGGAGAAGAGGAAGAAGAGAAAAGCTTCTGACAAAGAGAGGAGACGAGCAGCTGCTCTGGAGAAAAATGATGGTGTAGGAGCTTCGCGGCCTAAGCCTAGACCTGTGGTTGTTAATTCGAACTCCGATGAAGCCGACGACGAGTCTCTTCCCTCCGCAGCCGCTTCTTCCTCGTTGCCTCTCAACTATTTTACAGATTTGGCTTCTTCTGATGCTTCCGTTAGAGAAGCAGCTGCTGAGTCGTTGGTTTTGAGGTTGCAAGAGATTCAGAAGCAATACGAGTTGTTACCTGATAAAGAATCTGTTGATGGTGGATTGATGCTTGAAGCTGAGAAAAACGATGGTTTGGAAAACTGTGCTCCTCATCTGAGATATGCTCTAAGAAGGCTTATTCGTGGAGTCTCTTCTTCTAGAGAGGTATCTCTTCTTCTGGTTCACTTCTTATATCCAAAAATTCATTCTTTGTCTAGCAATTACTAATTGAAGAACACTGATTCTTTGGTTTTGCTAATGTTTCTTTAACAGTGCGCAAGACAAGGATTTGCCTTGGGGTTGACATTACCTGTTAGCGTTATTTCTAGCATTAATGTGGAATCTTTGATGAATCTCATTGCTGATTCTTTGTCTGTATCTTCATCCATGACTAGACAAGTAAGTAGCAGTTTTATATGCTTCGTTTTTTTTTTTATGTGATTCTGTTATAGAGACTCATATGATTTGATATGCTATTGACACAGGATATTAAGGAATGCTTATTGGGTCGACTGTTTGCTTATGGTGCGCTTGCACGTTCTGGAAGACTGATTGAAGATTGGCAATCTGATAAAGACTCTCAGATAATCAAAGAATTTACCAATGCTCTTATTGGTCTTGCCGCAAAAAAGCGTTACTTGCAGGAACCAGCTGTGCATGTTCTTCTGGACCTTGTTGACAAGGTATAATAGGTTCATTCTTATGTGCAAAGTTTATTGCGGATTTATTACACATTGTGAAGTTTTTTTTGATTCCATCTTTTTATTGTGCAGTTGCCTACTGAACCTGTTGTGACTCATGTTATGGAATCCCCAGAGCTTCATAAATTGTTTGAACAAGCCACCGAGGTGGGAAACCCGGATGCTTTGCTCTTAGCGCTTAAACTCCATGAAAAGGTTTCAGTCGATCATCCTGTATTTAGCAAGCTACTGCCAGTTCCTTTCAGTTCCGGGAAGTTTTTTTCTGCTGATCATCTCTCTGCCATTGGTAATTGCTTGAAGGTACATCACATACCAATCTTTTTGCTATGTAGAATGGTTGAACATGTTAAGATCTTGTCTGCAGATTGTTATATGAGTTTGTAACTTCTTAATATCAAAACATCTTTTTCCACCTTTAAATGATATTTTTGTGAACTTTTACAGGAATCTACTTTCTGCCAGCCTCGTGTTCATAGCTTATGGTCTGTTATAGTCGATATGCTGTTACCGGAAGCAGTTGTTCAAAGTGAAGATGTCATATCTGTTTCAAGTTCCTCGAAAAAGCAAAAACGGAACCGCAAGTCCAATCCTGTTGAAGAAGAAGCCACAAATAACATCAGGAATTTCTGCCAAGTTATTATGGAAGGAGCCCTGCTTTCTTCATCTCATGATCGCAAGCATTTGGCATTTGATATTCTGCTTCTTCTTCTTCCAAAGCTTCCGGCAAGTTTTGTCCAACATGTATTATCGCTCCAATTTGTTCAGTGCCTCATGGATATACTCTCCACAAAGGACTCTTGGTTGCATAAAGTTGCAACCCATTTTCTTGCCGAGTTAATGGATTGGGTGAAAGACGACGATACCAAGAGGGTGGCCGTTACAATGGCTCTCCAGAAACATAGCGAAGGAAAATTTGATAATATTACGCATACAAAAACTGTTAAAGATCTAGCTGCAGAGTTTGAAACTGAAGATGGTTGCACACTTTATCTCCAGAACTTGATGAATATGTTTGTGGATGAACAGCATGTTCCTGAGGAACCTTCAAATATGAAATGGTCCCTAGAACCTTGCTCTTTGAATTCAGATCAGAGTCAAACTACGGATGATAATTCTGACATAGGTTCAAACGAGGAGAAGGATTCAGTTGGAACAACCGGAAACTCGGATGTTCTAAAAAGCTGGGTCATTGAATCTCTCCCTGGCATCTTAAAACATGCTAAATTGTCCCCCGAGGCGAAATTGCGAGTTCAAAAGCAGATCCTGAAATTTCTCGCTGTACAAGGTCTCTTTCTGGCTTCTCTGGGCACTGAAGTTACATCATTTGAGTTGCAGGAGAAATTTAAGTGGCCAAAGACAGCTACTCCCGCTGCTCTTTGCAAAATGTGCATCGAACAGCTTCAGCTATTACTGTCAAATTCTCAGAAGATTGAGAATCCACTATCTAAAGGAAATGGCATGGAGCAGCCCGATGATCCTGTTTCGTACTTTATGAAATTCCTTAGCACGTTGCAGAATATTCCCTCAGTTTCCCTCTTCCGTTCCTTGAATGAAGCAGATGAGAAGGCATTCAAAGAATTACAAGAAACAGAGAGTAAACTTTCAAAGGAGGTAAGTTTCTTACTCGTTTTGCTTTAATGCTACTGTAAGTTGAAATCTTACCAAAATAATGTCTATGTGCTTCTGTGTTTAAGTTGTGAAATCTTTATTATGTGGCAGGAAAGAAATTGTGGACTAGCTACTGATCCAAATAAATTTCATGCATTGAGGCACTTAGTTGTTCAGCTGTTGCTTCAAATACTCCTCCATCCGGGAGAGTTCTCAGAAGCTGCAACTGAACTTTCAGTATGCTGTGACAAAGCTTTCAGTTCTCTTGATCTTCAAAAAAGTGATGGGGAAGGTGAGGCAGACGATGAAGAAGAACCAGCAGTCATGGATGTCCTCGTGGACACCTTACTTTCTCTCTTGCCGCATTCTTCAGCTCCAATGCGATCTTCTATTGAGCAGGTATTAAGCTCGCCACAAGCAAACAAATTCATTTCTTTTACTACACTTGAAGTTACTGATCCTTGGGTTCAGAAATGAGATTCTATTTGATCCTTTGGTTCAATTGTTTCCAATTGGCTCAAGCTCAAGTTTTAATAGAAATTCACAAATTTATGTAACTTGTAGGTTTTCAAGTACTTTTGTCAAGATGTCACCAACGATGGACTGCTGAGAATGTTGCGGGTGATCAAGAAAGATCTAAAACCAGCTAGACATCAGGAGGACCAAGACTCTGAGGATCTTGATGATGATGATGTAGATTGTCTTGCTATTGAAGAGGAAGAAGAAGAAAACGAGGAAATGGGCGAGACTGGTGAGAGCGATGGGCAGACTGATGATTCCGAAACAGTAACCGGCGTTGTCCCTATGGCAGTTGACAGAGAAGTTCCTGAAAATTCCGATGATTCTGATGATGATGATGGAATGGATGATGATGCAATGTTCCGCATGGACACTTACCTTGCCCAGATATTCAAGGAGAAGAGGAATCAAGCTGGCGACGAAAGTGCTCAGTCCCAGCTTGTTTTGTTTAAACTCCGTGTCCTCTCCCTTCTTGAAATCTACCTCCATGAAAATCCAGGTAAGTGTATCATAAAACAATGATTTGGTATGATGAAATGCACGATAATAGTCTCTACTAAGTTCTGTATTTGTGGTTTTGGTGATCTTTTAACAGATAAGCCTCAAGTTATGACAGTGTACTTAAACTTAGCTCAGGCAATTCTGAACCCAAGCACTGCAGAAAGTAGTCTGCCGCTTTTACAACGTATATGGGGTATCATTCAGAAGAAGATCTTCAAGGCTAAAGAGTATCCCAAGGATGAATCAATGGAATTTTCTGCACTTGCTTCTTTGTTGGAGAAGAATCTTAAACTGGCTGCGAAACCATTCAAGAGTAAGATGAGTAAGAATAAGTCAGGAGTTGACCCTTCCAAGAAGAAGCAGTCAGCTGCGTGGAACCGATACAAGATAATCACTAACCTTGGCCAGAACTCAACTTACTGGGTTATGAAGATAATTGACTCGAGAAAATTTTCAGAAACTGAATTGGAGAAGATCTTGGATATGTTTCGGAGTGCCATTGTGGGGTACTTTGATACCAGGAAATCTCAGATGAAGATAGAGTTTCTTGAGGAAGTGTTTAGAAGGAGACCATGGATTGGACACCAACTGTTTGGTTTCCTTCTGGAGAGAAGTGGGAATGCAAAGGTTGAGTTCCGTAGACTGGAAGCTCTTGATTTGATCACTGAAACTCTGAGATCGTTGGTTCCTATAAACGAAAACACCCAAGAAGATTCGAAAAAAAACAATGAAGACCCATCTGAAGAAACTGATTCATTTGATTAAAGAACTAGTTGCAAATATGCCTGAGGCTAAAGTAAGGCGAGCTCAGGTGCGTAAATTCTGTGGCAGGATCTTTCAGATGGTCTCTTCGTTGAAACTCACCAACTCTCTCCTCAAGGGTTTGGGACCAGATGGTCAATCAGCATGTGAATCTGCACTTGGTGATCTGTTCTTGAATCTCAAGAATACGGAGCATTAACGCAAGCTACTCCAAGTATCATCACCATACGCTGATCACTGGTGAAAACCCTTTTTCTTTTTCTTGTTTTATCTTTCTATGAAGAAAACTTGCAGGATCTGAATCACACCAGTTGGAATAGGATTTTCCCTAGTCATTGATTCCAAGTCTTGAGTTCTACATCTGGTACCAAAAGATATTACATTCTCACTTATGTCCTAAAGTGATGATTTGTTATGATAATTCATCAATTTTGTTTTCAAGTTGTTATGTTAGTTATATTTACAGGTTGAGAATACGTTAAAACTATGGATTTCATATGTTTTTCTTCATCAGATATATTGATTTTGTTATACATTCTGTGTTATAAATACTCATGTTGGAGATTGAAATTTTTTGTATGAAGGGAACAACAATCTACAGAAGCGTAGATTGTTCTTTGCAATGATATATATATACGGTTTTAGGATAAAATCAGATTCGGGAATTCATGCGTTACAAAGAGTATAAAATGACACGCACAAAAGTTGAAAAAGTGAAAACTTTCCAGTGACATAGACTAGTGTATAAGAGACACCTGTTTTAAATATCATAATTTAATTGGGAGGTTTTCTGTTTCGATTGATGCATTGTATTATTCAATGATGATGATGATGATGATGATGGTGATACATACACACACAGTGTCGTTTATTGATTCGGGAAGGATGCAACAAATAAGTTCATGACATGGCCGATAAGTGAGTGACTAAAGCTATTTGACTTTTCCTTTGTAAGCCTAATAATATCCTTTCCCACAACACCTGTCCCTGAGTTTGATAGATAGTTTTCTTGGACCAATTTATATTTAAAATCATATACTGAAGAAAATTCGGTTTAATCTTTAGCTAAGATGAACATTTAACAAAAAATCTGGTCACATACGGGAGTCTATATTTATCTCTTTGTAAAGAAGCCAATTATTGAGTTTGAAATGTTCTATCTTCCACAACAAAATGTTTTTCCTGTGGAACAACCCAAATATACCACTAAACCACTCGAATAGAAGAAAAAAAGTTCAATTTTATATGGTCAAATGAAAAAAAAAGGTAAAAAGGCTTAAAAGGTTCTCAGATAAAAATGCAAGCAAATGCACACGAGACTGAATTTAAGCAAACCACACTTCTTAAAAGCAAATAAATGTGATGGAAGTTGCAGAATCAAGAACATCATCATAAGATAAATAAACAAGTAGATAAAGAAACAAAAAAGACATTATTTATCAGACACCAAAATGATCTCAATTACACTATATATAAAAGATGATGAAATATCTTGTAATGGATTAACAATAATCTGATTCAACCATGATACCTCATTAATCAAACAGCCGAATCTGAACCCTGAGATGAAACTTTAGGTGCCATGTTCATGGCAACAAGCTTCCCGTCCGGTCCAGTTCTCAGTTCACTCATACCAGTTACAGGTAAGCCAACTCCATGGTACTGCGGCGGTGGAGCCTCAGTGTAATAAACTTGTTTCCCCATTCCTCCGGTGTAAGTCACCTGAGTATACGCTGATGTATCTGGTAATCCTACTACTTGTCGTGGCGGTGGAACGGCCGTGTATTGCGGTGGAGGAGGACCAGAGGTAAAAGGCTGAGGAGGAGGTTGTTGTTGTTGTTGAGCTTTTGTTCCTATTGGTGGCTGAGCCACGTGGTACGGTGGTTCCCTGTAAGTATCTGAAGCCATTCGCTGTACCGGAGGATAGTAGCCACCATGGTTTACTTGTCCTGTAGCTATTGGTCTTATGACACCTTGCGGTTGAGGCGGTGGTGGCGCGTGGTAGACCGGAGATGGAGATGGCATCATGTATACCGGTTGCTCTGGTAATCCTAATCCTGGTGTGGTTGTTGGAAATACGCCTCCTGGATTGTGGCTTCCTTGCCAGAAAGTCGTCATCGGAGGAGGAGCTTGTGGATTCGTTTGAGGAATCGTCGGTTGCGGCGGCGGTGGCGCCGGAATTTGTGCGTATGATGGAGAAAAGTATCCTCCAGATTCCATTAAACCGTCTTCGTTACTCTTCCTCCTGTATACAGCTTCCTGTTGTTGTTGTTGTTCTTGATCCCTAATATGCATCCTCTGAAATTCCTGCATTTGTCTTTGAATCTCCATCGGATTTACGACGTGATCCGGTTGAATCACACGCGGATCGTTGAATAACGGAGGTTCTATCACCACCGGTACTGGTAATTTCACCTCAGCCGGTGGTGGCGGCGGCGGAGCTGCAACTTTCTCCGATCCAAACAAAAAATCCGCATTATTTGGAGGAGCAGTTACGGATTTCTCCGATTCAGATAGCCTCGGGACAGTGTTTAACGCCTCGACGAAGCGATCTCGATCCGATTGAGTCGAACTTTGAGAACCAAATCCACCGGAAGCAGAAGAAGCCGGGAAGAGAAACAAACGCATCCTCGCTGGCTTAGACGACAAACGAAGCAACCGATCGTACTCGTGCATCATATGCTCCAGATCATCATCGTTCGTAACCGAGATCAAGGCGTCTAAGTCTTCTCCTGGAAGCTGATACTTAAACGTAACCTCTCCTCCGCCGCCATCACCGCCGCCGCATACTGCTGAGAGCTTGGAAGCTAAAACAGGGAATCTAATCCCGCGATCAACGGAGAGGATCTTCGTTTCTCCGTTAACATAAGTAAGCTGATTATCATGAGGCCGTGGCTGAATCTTGCCGCCATAGCTACACATAAACCTCACCTTGTAGCTCTGTTGCTGCTGGTTCTGGTTCTGGTTCTGATCATCCCATGGCGGCGGGTTATCGAATTCGATCTCACGAGATCTCGGTGACGAGTCGGTTGAATCTGGATAAGAGTTGTACGAAAATTTCTCCATCTCTCGGCGAAAATTAAATGGTTTTTTTTTTTGGGAGGGGCTTAATTCATGAAGAGAAGAATTTAGAAAGAAATGGAGAAGACTGGTTTATCGGTGATGGTGGTGTTGGAAAATGGTAACTTGACACTCGTGAACTTATTGCTCATTTACACGTGGCCTGTCAGATTTTATGAGTTTAAGGCGGTGATGAGATTATGTGACGGTCCTGTGACGTTAGCTGAATCTCTCCACGGATTAATATGACTTTTGGGGACACTGTGAATGGGCCCGACACTAGTGTTTTGATACTTCGACGTTGAAGGAGGCCAGCTTTTAGCCTTTTACAATGTTTTTCTTAATATTTTGTTAATCAGCATTAGTGAAGCAATATTTTAAGGTTAAGTGATAAATAAATAGTTACTTAAGAAAAAGGAAGAAAAAAAAGTCGTTGTCGTCGATCTTTCGCTCGATCAGCCTTAGATTTGTTTTATGATTGTGTTTTTGGTTAAGATTATCGGATTTCTTTTGTGTATAGCAAGTATTGTGTTTGAATCATAAACTACTATCTTATAGTCCGAATAGTCTTTGGGCTACTTCTAGAAGATAGTTGTTGTTTTTTTAGTTGTTTTTTTTAATTGTTTGTCAACATGCAGAAGATAACTGTAACAGAGTCAAAAAAAAAATAAAAAATTGTGATGTTTTGTCTCTATCATTTCAATATTTCATGGATAATTTAACATCAACTCAAGATTCAAGAATCAAAGATAATTTAACTCTGTCACCGTATACAACTCACTTTCTCGATTGATAGCTGTTATTATATACCTTAGTATATTGTCAACTTGCACCTTATTATAAAGGGAGACTCACAAAAATGCCCCTTTTTCAATACCCCTTTTCAAAAATGCCCCCTTTGGCTGTCCATTTTTAAAAATACCCCTTTTTATGTACAAAATGACTAAATTACCCTTCTTTTAATAAAATATATCACAAATATATAAGGAAATATAACAAAATTAGGTCTACAAAATACAAAATATTTTTTGGCGGGAAAATTGATCCCGCAATTTTTCCCGCCAAAACACTTGTAAAACCTTGTAAAAAACCTTTAAAATACCTTGTAAAATTTTCCCGTAAAATTTTTCCCGCCAAAAAATTTTCCCGCCAAAAAATTTTTTTTGCGGGAAAAGTGATTCCGCAATTTTTTTGGCGTTAAATTTTTGGCGGGAAAATTTTTCCCGCCAAAAATTTACAAGGTATTTTAAAGGTTTTTTACAAGGTATTTATAAGGTTTTACAATGTATTTTAAAAGGTTTTACAACGTATTTACAAGATATTATAAGATTTTACAAGCTATTTTATAAGGTTTTTACAAGTTATAAGGTTTTACAAGTTTTTTATAAGGTTTTACAAGTTATAAATACCTTATAAAACCTAATAAGTACCTTGTAAAACCTTTTAAAATACATTGTAAAACCTTACAAAACACTTGTAAAAAACCTTTAAAATACCTTGTAAATTTTTCCCGCCAAAAATTTTCCCGCCAAAAAAAAAAATTGCGGAATCACTTTTCCCGCAAAAAAAATTTTTTGGCGGGAAAAATTTTACGGGAAAATTTTACAAGGTATTTTAAAGGTTTTTTACAAGTGTTTTGGCGGGAAAATTGCGGGATCACTTTTCCCGCCAAAAAATATTTTGTATTTTGTGGACCTAATTTTGTTTCAAATAAGGGTAAAATGGTCATTAAAAATTAAAAGAGGGCAAACTTAAAAATGGACTCTCAAAGGGGGCATTTTTGAAAAGGGGTATTGAAAAAGGAGCATTTTTAACAATTTCTCTATTATAAACGGTTAAATTGTTGTAATTATTCTAACTTATAATAGACGTATTTCACCAGCATGCCTAAGGTGCAATCATGTTGGGGACGAACACAAATTTTATTTTTTTCAAATTTACGTAACACTGTTTTTTTGGTCACAGACGTAGCTATTTTCTTGTAAACTGTATATATAGTCATAATAATATTCGAAGACATGTTACGTTTGCCAGCCTTGATTAGTATTTCTTCGAATTTTTATTTAGTAACTCTTCATGTGAATTCGATGTTTTGATATTTTATTGTGTTAGAAATGTTTAATATTTGGGAAAAAAAAAAAAATGTTTAATATTTTCTCATCGTCTAACAATGTCTCGTATATACTATATGGACCAATCGGCCCGGTACGATGTTGCTCGATCAGTAATAGATAAAGTCGTGTCTGCCTGTCTGGTGGTCGTAGGTAGAGTAAGTCAACCAACCAAAATTTCACCCAAAACTTTTCATTTCACTAGATATGTAGTAGTGAGTCACATTATACATTTCTTTATAATGTCGACCATAGTTATGATTACTTAAAGAGCCTCTTCTATAGTTGTACTATGGATATTTTTCTTGTTGTACTATTGGAACATTATAAAGAATCAAAATTTCCGAATCTAATAAGCACATAAAGAAAAATAGAATCAAATTTTATTTGTAAATAAAAAGGATGTACTAACATAAATCTGACTATGTTCAACTTAATTAAACCAAATCAAATAAATGAAAAATTCCTACAAATACATATGAATTCGCTTCTTTTAAAAAAAGTTCATGATGATCCAAACAACCCGAAATTATGAACCAACAAAACCAATATTTTCAAATGCCCAGACTTATTAATTTGGCCTCTGCAGTGATGTATGTATGTATAAAGGGATTGGGGGTGTAATAAGGAAAAACATTAATTAAGGGGTAGAAGTTATATATTTACAGAAAATGAGGACAGTTTAGTCAATTTGAGAACATGGTTGGAAGTTGGAACATTTCAACAAATGAGACAAACAAAGTTCAATGTACACTTGAATTTATATACAAATCAGTACAAAATGTTAGAAGCTATTCGAAGCTAAACACATTCAAGTTCCCAACAACTTCACCGCTCATCTCCTCACGGCTTTCTTCATTTAGTAATCCTCCGCCGATTCGGATCATCGTTTCTCAGATTCATCTTTTAAATTTCTGCTTTCAGGTTCTTAATCTGAATTGTTCGTTTCGCTTGTGATTCTAGTTTCTGCCCTCTCGTGGTTTCCTTGAATCTGATTACTTTGATTCTCCGATTTTCTTAGGTCTAAGCTCGTTTTGTTTTCTTTTGCTGGGAAATTTCATCAGTTTCGTTGCCGTCATTTTGTTTTTGTTATTATTCCTCTTAATATGTTCTGATTCTGGATTAACAGATTCTTATGACTCATCGATTTTGTGTGATTTTTTTTTTTTTTTCTCTAGTGTTAGACTTATAGAACGGTGACGTGTGATCTATGATATCAATTCCGAAGTTAATATATATTTTTTTTCCTTGTTGATGTTTTGTTTGTAGATGGGTAAGTATGAGGTCATGAAACGGGCAAGTGAGGTTGATCTTTCTACTGTCAAATATAAAGCTGAAAACATCAAAGGTTTGGTTATACAAATGCAGATTAATTCTGTGGGTTTTGCTGAATTTCTTACACATGACATGGTTGTCTCTACTTTTGCAGCTCCTCATTTGACTGGCTTTTCTTTCAAGCTGTTCGTTAAATTGCTTGAAGCACCACTTATTGGATCAGTGATTGTTGATTCTTTGAAGAAAGACAATGGCATGACAAAGGTCTAGTTTGATCAGAACTTACTTTCTCATCATTTGTCTTTTGTTACTAGTCCACAACGTTGTTGTTAATGGTCAATTGATTAAATATCTATTTGCTTTCCCGTGTTTGTGACTGGCAGATTTTTCGCAACACAGTTATACCAGAAGAGCCAATGTTTAGACCGGAGTTCCCATCTCAAGGTATATTTTTCTTCTCTGTCATCTACTCTCTGACAATCATATGTTTTAATTAGGATTCATTATAAGATGATTGTCTGTATGATTTCACACTAGAACCGGAGCATGATGTTGTTGTTGTTGGTGAAGATGAAAGTCCTATAGACAGATTGGAAACAGCTTTGAAGTGTCTTCCTCAATATGATCCTTCTCGTAGCTTGGACGCAGATCCAATGTCATCTTTCCGGTACTGGAAGATTCGTGATTATGCATATGCCTATAGATCTAAGCTGACAACTCCATTGCAGGTTTTTCATCTTAATTTTTACTTTTATTACTCTCTTTTTTTGGCACAAACAGAGAGCCTTGTTACTGATTGCTAGGTAGCGAAAAGAATTATCTCAATCATAGAGGAGTTTCGCTATGACAAGCCTCCAACACCATTTTTGATTAGCTTTGATGCCAATGAAGTCATAAAACAAGCTGAAGCTTCTACACAGAGGTTTGAACAAGGTAAATTATGCAGACTCAAGATACCATCACGGCTTTTGATCTGCTTAAAGTGTCAGCTTCAGTGAGGTTTTTAGACATGATTGTAGAGATCCGTGTTGATCATATTGGGTGTGATCTTTGTAGGAAATCCAATATCTGTTTTGGATGGAATTTTTGTGACAATCAAGGACGATATTGATTGTTTACCCCATCCGACAAATGGTGAGTATGTCATTCTTATATGTTATTAAAAATACTCCAGAAACAACAGACCTGTCATAGAGTTTTTCATAAAAGGTGGAACAACATGGCTGCATGAGGATCGTTCTGTGGAGAAGGATTCAGCTGTTGTTTCAAAACTGCGCTCTTGTGGTGCAATCTTACTTGGCAAGGCAAATATGCATGAGTTAGGCATGGGGACCACCGGGAACAATTCAAATTACGGGTAAGCTACACAGCAGAGGACACACAAATCTTATCTATTGCAGATAGACATAAAACTGTTTTGTTACTTGATACGGTTTACTTCAGTGTGTTTCTTGCACCTTTAGTTCACTCTAGTTTTTCATGTGTATGTTCTTCTGGTATTGTGCATTGCAGAACCACAAGAAACCCACATGATCCTAAAAGGTACACGGGCGGATCTTCCTCAGGTTCAGCAGCTATTGTAGCCGCTGGACTATGTTCAGCTGCTCTAGGAACAGATGGTGGAGGTATTAAAGTTATTTTTATATTGTTTGATCTGACCAGTGATCAGCATACCTACTAGGTTTAGTGTTTCTGGAAATGCAGGTTCTGTTCGGATCCCTGCAGGACTTTGTGGTATAACGGGACTGAAAACAACATATGGTCGGACAG